AAGTGCTGGGATTACAGGCTTGAGCCACCGCGCCCGGCGAGCATAGACAGATCTTACAATTAGTCTGATAGCACCAAATTTTATATGAAATTTTGCATTAACTTCTTCCCAACAGTGTTTGATAGTACCTATCTTCTCAAATGGATAATGCCACTATTTTGTCAATCTAACAGGCCTTCAAAAAGCTCTGAGACAAGTATGTAATGCACTCTCTGGGTTCTCAGGTACACGCTGTATCAGTCAATTGCAGTAGCATTTAGGGGCAAGGTTAAGAGTGTAGGCTCTGGAGTTTGACTGCCTTAGTTCACATTCCAAGGCTCTATCCATTATTAGTTTTGTGGCATTGGTCAGGTCACCTGACTCAATACCTCAATTTCCACATCTGTATAAGAGGACCTATATCATAGGGTCCTTGAAGGGATTAAATGAGTGAATACATATACGGAACTTAGCACAATGTGTGACATATAGTAAGTACTCAATAAATATCAGTCATTACTCTTATCATCACCATCATCTATTTCATCCCATTCATGGCTGGACTATAGTCCATAAACATCATCTGCAATACCTTTAACCATTCTAAATAATGCACATTTGATCATTTTAACTTTTAAAATGACAATGCCACCAAAAACATTTTTACACAGTTATCTGCCAGCTCATATGATTATTTCCTTAAGGTAAGTTCCAGCTGGGCACGGTAGCTCACTCCTGTAATCCTAGCACTTTGACAGGTTGAGGTGGACAGATCACCTCTGGTCAGGAGTTTGAGACCAGACTGACCAACATGGTGAAATCCTGTCTCTACTAAAAATACAAAAATAGGCATGGTGGCACACATCTGTAATCCCAGCTACTTGGGGGCTGAGATGGGAGAATCGCTTGAACCTGGGAGATGGAGGTTACAGTGAGCCAACATCGCATCACTGATAATGGTAATTTTCTCAGTTAGTTCTTCCTGTAAGAGATTATAAGTATTCCCAACTCTCCATACTCTGGCCAAAACTGGACGTTATATTATTTTTTAAAAAATCTTAATTTTGCCGGGCGCGGTGGCTCAAGCCTGTAATCCCAGCACTTTGGGAAGCCGAGGTGGGTGGATCCCGAGGTCAAGAGATCGAGACCGTCCTGGTCAACATGGTGAAACCCCGTCTCTACTAAAACTACAAAAAA